CTCCGCCCCTCTGCCCTCGGCCCCAGGGTTAGGGCCGAGGAGGCCAAACCCGCTGCCCCGCGCTGGACACGCCCCCAGGCCCGCTGCCCCACCCCTGACCGGCAGGCACTGGGCACTGTCCCACCCCTGGCTAACAGCCGAGCGCCTCTGGCCCTGCGGCGGTCCAAGCGTCAGCACGTGCTCCCTTAGGACCGAGAAGGGCCCGTATGACAGTGACAGCTGGGAACGATCACTCCGGACAGGAACTGAGCCTGAAAGGAGGTGCCTGGTATACAGGAGAACCTTTCAGTAACAGTGTTGCAAACCGCAGTGCCCAAGGGAAAGGCGGGGGAGGGGGGAAGGAAAGAGACTGACGGAGGGGGAGGGAGAGGGAGGGAGAGAAGGGGGGGGAGAGAAAGGAAGAAGGCGGAGGGTGTCGGGAGGGAAACTGAGGACACCGGTGGAGGGAAACATACACTGGTGAAGGGACGGGTGTTGGAACATTGTATGACTGAAACCCAGTCAAGAGCAACTTTGTATCTGTGTATCTCAGGGTGATTCACTAGCAAGTGCTCCTGGCTGCCTCCATGGCTGGGTGGGGGGATTCCTGCCAGGTCCGGACGTCCAGGCACCCACCGTCACTGCATCACTGTGAGGGCCGTCTCCGCCACCTCGCCACCATGCCCCAAGCTTCGCCTATGACTCAGGCAGGCCTGCCCCTCTCCCAAAAGTGCACGTCCAGGCATCAGCGTTCCGAATCCATCACCAGGACAGATTTTTTAAAAAACGGGGGTGGGTGGCTGGAGAGGTAGCACAGCGGGTGGGGCGTTTGCCTTGCACGCGGCCGACCCGGGTTCGATTCCCAGCATCCCATATGGTCCCCTGAGCCCCGCCAGGAATAATTCCTGGGTGCAGAGCCAGGAAGAACCCCTGTGCTTCGCCGGGTGTGACCCAAAAAGCAAAAAAAAAAAAACGGGGGTGGGCGGGAGAAACAATGGAGCGGGCGAAGCACTTGCCTTACACGCAGCCGACCCTGGTTCAGTCCCCAGCACCCCCAAGCCCCACCGGGAGTGATGGCTGAGGGCAGAGCCGGGAATAAGCCCTGAGCACAACCAGGTGTGGCCCCCAACTAGAACCAAAATGCACCAGAGCTTCACATGTTTGTCCGTGACGAGAGTACCTGTCTCCCAGCTGTGCCTGGTGCTCAGAGCGCTTGGGTGTCACGTGCCTGCCCGTGGCCGCCTTCGCTCTCCGAGGAGCCTCCGAAAAGCGAAGCCGGACCAAGACGCCCAGCGGGACAAAGGGGAAAAGACCCTGTTTGAGAAAAGGAAAACCAAGGGTCCGGGAGGTGGCTCAGGGCTCGGGAGCGCGCCTCGCGTCCCCGAGTCCCAGCAGGAGTGACCCTCGGACTGGAGTGTCGCAGAGAAGCCGGGGAGTGACCCCAAATAAAAACACACGCAAGCAGAGACCACCATCGGCCACCCTGCCGCACACAGGGCAGCACCGGACTGTGAGGGACACGTCCACGGAGGCTGCAAGCGTGAGTGGGGCCCCCGGGGATGACGGGAGAAGGGAAGTGGCGAGTAGGACCCACGGGCAGCGAGGGCCCTGGGGACAGTGGCTGCGTCAGCTGCCTAGTCTGTCCCTGCTGGGGCCCAGGCCGAGGGCAGCGGCGACAGAGCCCGGGCCGCGGGGTTCGGCCTCATGGGAACAGAGATGAGCCGAAGGGACCCAGGGCAGAGCTGGGCAGCGGCAGCCCCTCCCTGCAGCTCCTCAGAGAGGGCGCAGTTGGCTGAGTCACGCCCGAGGGCCGTCCCTGGGGTCAGAAAGGCCCCCGGTGACGTGGTTCTGCTCCCTGGGCAGAAGGAGCCAGGCTAGGGCGGAGAGCAGAGACCCGGCTTCCCAGATGCTCCGTCCAAGGCAAACGCACGAACGAACCAGCCCCCGGGTGCGGCCAGGCCTCTCCGAACAGTGCTCCACGGAGGCCTAGAGTTGGAGGCACGTCCGAGACCCTCTGCTGGGCTCCTCGTTCCCCGAAGGCCTGGCAGGGCCGGGAGAGGCCGGGGCGGAGGAGTTGGCTGCCCCGAGCCTACCAGGAGGATGCCTTGAGCACCCGGCCAGTGGCCCCCAAACCAAAGTAAGGAGAGGGATGGAGGTGCTGGAGACTCCTTTGCACTCCACGTCTCCGACCTGCCCGGGTGCCCAGCTGCACCCCTGTGCCTCAGTCTGTCCCCGTGCCGTGACCCACACCAGCCTCAGTGCCCAGTGCAGCCTGGCCAGCAGGGAACAGCGGGGACAGGGTCAGGCCAGGATGTGAATACAGATGGTCCCAGTTGTCTTCCTTTGGTGCCGAGGCTCGAACCCAGAGACTCCCCAGCATGTGCCCTTCGATGCGATGCTTTGTTTGGGGGCGGGGGGGGGGACGGCACCGGACAGTGACTGGCCCCCAAGAGCCCCGCACTGAGGTTTTTTTTAAAAATTTTTTTGGGTCACACCCGGCAATGCACAGGGGTTATTCCTGGCTTTGCACTCAGGAGTTACTCCTGGCAGTGCTCAGGGGACTATATGGGATGCTGGGAATCGAACCCGGGTTGGCTGCGTGCAAGGCAAACGCCCTACCCGCTGTGCTATCACTCCAGCCCCCCTTTTTTTTTCTTTTTTTGAGCCCGGCACCGAGTGCAGGAAGGAATTCTTATACCTTGGAGGCGGGGTGCAAGGCCTTTGGGTTCCCCAGACCACGCCCAGCACCCCCGAGGAGGAGTCACGCCTGGTGCAGGGGGCAGGAGGGAGGCCTGGAATGTTCAGGAAAAGTCCGGGCAGGAGGGAGCACAGGCTCTGCCTGTGGGGAGCCAGGTGGAGCCGCGTGACACAGGGTTCCCCGAGCACCACGCGAGTGGTGACCCCTCGAAACTCAAAGGAAATCGCTCTCACGCACGCGGGCAGCTGAGCTCGGCCGCACACATCGCCCTCCTGACCTCTCCTCCCTCCCCCCTAAACTTCCCAGTAAACTTGTTAAACTTAAAAGGAAAGAAAAAGCCCAAAGCAGATTCCACGGGGAGAGCCCTGGGCTCTGGTTTCTATTCCCACACGAGCTGCCAGGACCTGGAGTCCCGGGGGAAGCCGTAGACGCAGACGGGGCAGGGCACACGCTCCACTGCCCAGTGACGAGACGCGCCGAGAGGACAGGGGAAGCCCAGCCTTCAGGAACCTTCACAGACAGGGGTCTTCCCTTCGCCTGGGCGCCCAGACGCGCCCCGAACTGCTCGCTGAGGGTCTGCACCCCGGGAGAGATGAGCAGCAGGGCTCAGAGCCGCGGCACCGCGGGACCTTGCACACGGCCCGCCCGGGTTTGATCCCGGCATCCCGCACGGTCCCGAGCACTGCACGAGTAACCCCCCAGCATCGCAAGGCAGAACAAATGGCAGCCAGCTCCTCCACGCGCGGCTCACCCTGACGAGGCCCCCTGTGGACTCCATGATTTTTTGCTGCTCTCTCTGGGACATATTTCCCCTTTTTTCCTGTTTCACAAAGGGCTGAGCACCCGCTTGGCATGTGGGTGACCGGGTTTGATCCCCAGCACAGAACCATCGTCCTGAGCGCCTCGGGCGTGGCCCGAAAATCTAAAATAGGAACAAAGATCACTGGGAGGTAGGGAGAGAAGCCTCGGGAGTCCACGTGGGCCACCTAGGCCAGGAGTGGGTGCGAGGACAAAGCTCTGAGCGTGGCCGGCATGGCATGGCGTGGCTGCAGACACCACATGGCCATAGGCCCGGCTGCCGAGACAGGCACTCTGGCTTCTGTCCGCAGCCGTCACCTCAGGATGCTGATGTCACCGTCACCTCGTGGGCCACAGAGCCAGGGAGGGGCCTGAGTCTCCTGAGGACACTGTCCAGGGCATCTAGATCAGGGCTGCTCCGCCTCGGCCAGCTGTGGCTCAGGCCGGTCAGCTGACGGGTGGACAAACATGTTTAGTTCAAAGACGCAAATCTTGGCTTTGAAGCAGGCGGCCTCGCCCCGAGCAAGTGGCCCAGGAGCCCGGGCACCAAGACACAGACGGGCGACAAGAAAGCCCACATTCGCCGCCCGCTCTTGGGGCCCTGGAGACAGCGCCGAGGTGGCGGTGGCCCCCGCCGGCCATCCCCTCCCCCACGACGGAGCCGCGGCTACCGGCCAGTGAGACCCGCCAGCTGCTTTCGATGCCGGGATGAGTCGAGCCAACACGCGCACCTCTCCCGTCCCCAAGCCGCCACGCCCCCTCGGTGGGGTTTCTCCAGCGGAGCCTCCCAGCGCGGGCAGAGCGGCAGAGCGGCAGTGGGGCCGCAGACGCGAGCCTACAGCAGCCAACCTGGGCTGGGTCCCTGGCACGCCCCAGCCCTGCCAGGTGAGGCCACTGAGCACGGAGCCAGGAGCAGGCCCTGAGCACCGCTGGGGGAGCCCCAAACGAATGAAAGAAAAGCAGCAAAACCCTACTGGGTGCTAACGGAGCGGCCCCATCTGCACCCCAGCCAAGGCCAGTGGGCCAAGAGAGGTGCAGGCGCTCCGAGGCTAGCGAGAGCCCAGTGCTGAGTTCCGAGCGCAGGGCCGAACAGCCCGAATCGGGCGCAGACGGGGAGCCCCGATTCCTGGGCCCACCTCCGGCCAGAACTTAGCTGAGGGCAGGACCTGTGCAGTCCACCCACGTGCGAGCAAAGCGTGTCCCGGGGGTTCCTGGAGCCCCAGCAGGCATGCAGACACCCCCCACCCTGTGCCCCCCCCCCCCCACTGACCGCCTAGTATTACCAAGGGCGTGAGGCTGGGACAGCCCCTGGTGTGGGGGCACAGCTGGGGCTGAGTCCATGGTCCAGGCCTGGAGGCAGCACTCGAGAGGGGCGACAGGACGCCCCACGGCACCCCGATGACCCGAGTGTGTCTCCCCGAGGTGGGGGGACGCCGGCACTCGCTGGACTGGCGCCAAGTCACCGCCGAAGGGCCCGGCTTGGCTGCCTCAGCGCAGACACGGAAGCACAGACTGATTTGAAATCTTTTAATGTAACGACGTTCCAATCACCGTCTATGGGACGAGCCCCGACTCCGGGGGTCTGGTCGCAGCGTGGCCGGAGGCGGTCTCCCGGTGCGGCCACCAACACGTGGCTCTCGGCAGGGACCAGCGACTGCTGCAGTTTCCTTCTGAAGAACTGCTTCTTCTCTGGCAAGTGGCTCAATGTTTTAAAATCATTTATCAAAAGCTACAGGGCAGGGGGGAAAGAGTGACGGGTTAAAAAATTTATTTCCCAGGAAAGATAAAATTCATTTTCACAAATTTACAAGTGTTGCTGGTGCAGGGTATCCTTGGAGCGACGGGCCGGGCCCGCGGCGAGCTCCCTCGGGACGCGGAACCACCATCCGCCGGGGACTCGGCGCCTCCTCTCCCCTCAGGCGAGTCTGTCTGACCAAGTGCCCTGGACCGGAAGCGCCGCGGGCTACAGCAGGTCGGCGCGGCGGTAGTACAGGAGGTAGGCTGTGCGGCCGGCCGCCGGCTTCACCACCTGGTACTGGCTCACCACGCGCACCGTCTGGTCGTCGATGCGCAGCCAGCCGCTGAGGCCGATCTGGAAGACGTCGGTGGTGTAGTGGCCCCCGGTGGCGCTGCTGCCGTGGTGGTAGACCACTGCAAGAGACACGGCGTGGGTGCCGGCCCGCCCCCCCCCCCCGCAGTGCCACGGCAGCGACACCGGCGGGCGCGGGGGCTCCCCAGGGCACCCGGCCCAGCCTCGAGCTCTCGCCCCGGCGGGATCCCTGTCGACAAGGATGCTCCGGCAGCAGCTGCGCCACCTCCATCTGGCGGAGGCACAGACTCAACTGCCTCGGCCGGGCACAGGCAGGAGCGGCAGCGGAGCGCTTCGGGGCGGCAGGAAGGGCCCACCCACAGCTGAGGCCGCACCCTGCCAAGGGCCGCCTGCCGCAGGAACGCACCCCAACTGACCCAACAGCCCCGCGGCAGAGACATGGGCCCCCAGTGGACAGGCCGCAGGGCCCAGAACGGGCCCCTGCTCGCTGTGCGAGCGAGTCAACTCGGACCAGAAAGGCACTTACCTGCAAAGAGCCGGTAGGTTCGGTGGCATTTGAGGTTCTTGTTTTTGACTCCCGGAGAAAGCAGTTCTGGAAAACCAAAGTCAACACTAAGCCCCTGAGCCCCGAGAGGAGAGGCCCCGTGTCCTGTCCGCGGAACTCATGCCAGCTCTACACACGGCGACAAAGCTGCGTGGCTGGCGAGAGCGCAGCCGCCAACCCGAGACAATGGGCGCGTGGGGGCCCAAGCGACAGCTCAGCAGGGAGATGTCTGCCTTGCAGGCGGCCGACCCGGGTTCGATTCCCAGCATCCCATAGGGTCCCCTGAGCACCGCCAGGAGCGATTCCTGAGTGCATCGTTGGGTGTGACCCAAACCCCAATGGGGGTGCACGGAGAAGACGAGCGCACACGAGACACGGAAACCAGAGGGAGACCCCGTCCCACTGACACCACGGGATGGACTCGCTGGACGTCAGCCCCTGGACTGTCTGCACCAATTCCTCTGGTCTCCACACAGGAGTGACAGTCAAAGGAGAGGGGCAGACACCAAACGGCACAGCTGCGCCCACCACCCAAGCGCCCCTCAGTGCCCCCGGCACCTGGCGCACGCCCCAGGCTGAGGGACCAACGGGCGTCTCTGCCACCTCGGCTCATCCAGGCCGCCTTGGGCCCTGCCCCTCCCCCGCCGCCTCACCCCTGCTGATCTCCAGGTCCACGGGGTAGTCGATGTTCTTGACGAGCTTCTGGCAGCCGCCGCTCTTCTCGTACACGAAGCGCTTCAGGTGCAGCACCAGCACGGGCGGCAGCTTCTCCAGGGTCACCCGGCGGCTCACCTCCACCTGCGACAACAGCCCAAGGGCCGTGACCCTGCGCCCCGCCCGCCCGCAGTCCCGCTCCGGCCGGGCTCCCGCTCCGGCGCTCACCTCCTGCCGGGTCTTGGTGGTGTAGCCCTGCACGGCCTCCCGCGCCGCCAGGCTCTCCAGCGCGTCCTGCACCGTGTGGATCCTGTCGGACTGGATGTCCAGCTGCAGGGTGAAGAAGGGCTGCAGCGTGGCCGAGTCCTTGGAGCTCTGCTGGGACACCACCGACCTGGGCGACGGGACGGCGTCAGGGCCCACCAGGGACCGCGGGTGGCACCAGGACACGCAGCGCCCCTCCCCCCCCGCCCGTTCCAGGCCGCCCACGTCACAGCAGGGAGCACTGCGAGGGGCACCCCCCTAAAGCGAGCACCCAAAGAGCTCTTCCCAGGGGCCGCAGGGAAAGGCAGGCCGGAGCCATGGAGACTCAAGGGCCCTTGACCCCGGGGCAGACACAGATTCATTAAAACAGGCCCGAGGCAGGTGGCATAGGGAAACTGACGCCTCGCCCCAGGAATTCTATTAGAAAGCCGGCAACGTTTTCGGACGGAGAATCTTGCTTAAAGACGGCTCCTCCCCTAGCCGGGCCCCAAAGTCCTGACAACACTGAAAGCCAAGCAGTGCGGCCAGCTGTGCGGCGAGAGTCAGCCTGAGCCTAGAGGCGAGCTCGCCCGCCCGTCACTGCCTGCCCCAGACGAGCCCGTTTTTTCTCCAACACGCCCTTCCTCTCCCCTCACATCTTCCCAGAAAGTTCCAATAAAACTTGCTTCATTAAAAATGAGCGAGGGGCCTGCGCACCCCTGTGTGCCCCCACCCCCAACAGAACTCGAGCAGGGCTAGGGCAGGGTGGGACGGGACTCACGCTGTCAGCCCCAACCAAGCCCACCCGGACCAACCCCGGAAGAGGCGGGAGGTGTCCAAGCCCAGCTCCAGCCCCCCAGTAAGAGGACCAACTCTTCACTGCTCTCGCCTGCCCTCAGAGCCCCAGGGCGACCTGCACTTGCAGTGGGCATCCAGCCGGGGCACGAGCGGGTCCTCCTGGGGGGCCCAGTCTCCCTGGGTGGGCGTCCACGGCTGTGCGGCCACAGCTCTGGGTGTCAAGAGGAAACGGCAGACGCCCTGTGCCGTGCCCAGCGGGACCCCACTCCTCCCCCCACGCCCGAGGGCCAAACGCTAATGACTCCCGGAAGCGAGACCTGATGTGTCCCCCGAAAATGCCGGTGATCGGGGTCTGCACGAAGTCCGCCTGGCGCGTGACGGCCGTCCTGTTGCGAGGGCCCACTTGCTCCCACTCGTCCTCACTCCCCTCGCTGCCCTGCTCCTCCGGCTCCTCGGCCGCCGAGCGCCTTCCGGGCCCATTGGACACAGCAGCTTCTGGAAAGCAAACGGCCGCTCAGCTGCAGACAGGCGGACAGCCCTGCTCGGGGGGAAACAGCCCCCGCAACTTCACGCGGACTCATCCAGGGAGCGGAGGAGTCTGTGACTGTGTCTGAGCGTTATGTGACGCTGTGTGTGGCTGTGAGTTGTGTGTGGCTGTGTCTGAGTATATGTGAGAATGTATCTGTGAGTCTGCGTGTCTGTGTATGCGTCTGCGTAGCGTGCGGCTAACGCTGGCAGCCCCCGGGAGGTCGGAGCTGTGTGAGCCCCCCGCTCGGAAGCCGCCGGGCCGGGGCAGCTGAGGGCCTGCGGGAGGGCCGGCCCCAGGCACTGCAGCGGGGTCCGAACACACCCTGACCTACTTTTGCTGTTGGGCAGAGCCCCTGCTCAGAAGGTCACCGGGCCGGGACTGCTGAGGGCCTGCGGGAAGGCTGGCCCCGGGCACTGCAGCGGGGTCCAAACACACCCTGACCTACTTTCGCTGTGGGCAGAGCCCCCGCTCAGAAGGTCACCGGGCCGGGACTGCTGAGGGCCTGCCGGAAGGCTGGCCCCGGGCACTGCAGCGGGGTCCGAACACACTTTGACCTACTTTCACTGTTGGGCAGAGCCCCCGCTCAGAAGGCCGCTGGGCCGGGGCAGCTGAGGGCCTGCGGGAGGGCCGGCCCCAGGCACTGCAGCGGGGTCCAAACACACCCTGACCTACTTCCGCTGTCGGGCAGAGCCCCCGCTCAGAAGGTCACCAGACCGGGGCAGCTGAGGGCCTGCGGGAAGGCTGGCCCCGGGCACTGCAGCGGGGTCCGAACACACTCTGACCTACTTTCACTGTTGGGCAGAGCCCCGGCTCAGAAGGCCGCCGGGCCGGGGCAGCTGAGGGCCTAAGGGAAGGCCGGCCCCAGGCACTGCAGCGGGGTCCAAACACACCCTGACCTACTTTCGCTGTCGGGCGTGAGCAGCTTCTTCAGGGCCAACATCTCCTCGTGGAGCCCGTTCAGGATGAAGCCCAGGTACTCCTCGGCGTCTTCCTGCCGTCCCTGCGGAGAACAGACAGGCCGTCAGCCATCACTGACCCGCAGTCAACCTTCCGCCTTGCTCCGTCCGGCAAGACCCCGGAAAGGCGTTTGCGGAGGAACAGGCAACATCCTGGAGGGCTGACAGGAGGGAGGAGACAGACACCAGCGCTGGTTCTGCTCACGGACGGGAGTCGGCGGCACCAGCGGCCGACACGGGGTGACGGGGCAGGGAGGACGCAGCCGGCCCTTCGGCCAGGTCGGCCCACACGCCCTGTCCAGGCCCTGTGTCCTCACGCCACGTGCAGTGACCGGGCCTGGCGCCCGGCCAGCACCCGCCAGGCCCACGCACCTTTTCCGACAGGCTGGACTTGATGACGGTGAGGAGGCGGTAGATGTAGGTGGGCTCGAAGGCGGCTCCGGGCCGGATCTCCCGCAGGGTTCTGTCCCCGAGAGCTGCAGGGAAGAGCCCCGGCCCGGCTGCAGGCGGCAGAGCGGACTCTGGCCCACCTGCCCACCCTGGCTACTCGTCCAGCGGGCAGCGGCGACCAGCCCCAACGGCACTCACCTTGCCTGGGCTTTGGGGGCACCGGCATGTTCGTGAACTCGTTCATCAGCCGGACACTGGACACAAGGACAGAAACATCAGGCTGCTGGCAGACCCCCGCCCCCCCCCCACCCCAGCTCACTTCGGTCCCCGTGCGGTGAGCGGGGCGCAGACCCCAGGCCGCCCCACTCACAAGCTGTCGATCATGGGCGTGGACGTGCAGGGCCGCTGGACCTTGGAGTAGAGGGGGATGACCTTCATCAGGTGGTACATGGGCGGGCAGGCGACCAGGGCCTGCAGGGTCTGACGGCGGCAGGAAGCGTGAAGGAAAGGAACGGAGGAGCCCGGCCGCGCGTCCCGGGGGCAGGGGTGGGGGGTGGGGGGCAGGCAGGGCAGGATACGGCGTTGATGTAGCACCAGTTCCCCTTGTTGATGAGCCCGCGCGGCTGCAGCGACACGGGCTTGTGCACCAGGGTCACGTTCTCCAGCAGCTCTGCAGGGAGGCGGCGGGTGAGGCCGGCGCGGACAGGGTGAGGCCAGCAGAGCCCCGGCCCACTGCCCGGCCAGGGAGGGGCACGGGCAACAGGGTGGGCTCGACAACGACAACGCGCGCTGCCGCCCACTGGACCCAGCCGAATCCCCGCTCCCCACCCCGAGGCTCTGGAAGGTCACTGCGCTGGCCACGAGCAGCTGACCCAGGCGCCCACAGCCACTCCCCGTGGGTGCTGCAGGCGGGGAAGCCTCCCGCCGCGCACACGGCCGACCCCGGCTGGGTCCTGGCACCTCGTGAGGTCCCCGAGCACCGCCAGGGCACCACTGGGCACAGAGCAGGGTCCGTGGAACTGTCAGGAGCCTGTTCCAGGGAGGCTGCGCCTCACCCGTGCCCTCGTCCCGTGATGGCAGAACCCAGTGACGAGCGACCCAGTTGGGACAAAGGAGGCAGTTCTGCACCCGAGCACAGACACTGGACGCGGGCGGCACCTGGCGGGGAGGGTGGCCCAGGCACAGCCCGCGTGGAAGGGGACGAGGGCAGTGGCCGGCCCCTCTCCCGGGCTCCTCACCTCAGTGCACGCGCCCCCTCCCCCCATCCTGCTGTGCTGGGCCCTGTGCGCCATGCCCAGTGGTGAGCCAGGGCAGCGCCCGCCCCCCCACCCCGCACGGCACCCTGGCGGCATCGGAGCCTCAGCAGGACGGAGCCTGCAGACGCCAGGCCCGGCCCCTTGGCCGGGGCTGCAGCGTCAGGAGCCTAAGCCTGGCCGAGAGTGATGGTTTTCTTTTCCGGTCAGGAGCTTACGTGGGGCCCAGACGGAGTAAAACCCACTTCCTTGCCCCCAAATCACTGTTACAGAGAAGCCCAACGTCTTCCTGGTAGCGTAGGAAGGGCGGAGAGGCCGGGGTGGAGGGTGGGGGTGCAGCAGGGAGGCACCCGCCTCACAGGCAGCCACCACGGGTTCGGCTCCCGGCATCCCTGACGGTGCCCTGGGCAGAGCTAGGGTGTGGCCCCACGGAGCCAGGGGCCGGGAAGGACGGCGCTCGCAGGCACAGCGTCCTCTGGCTCCTGAGTACCGCGGGGTCGCTGCGTGAGCCTGGCGGCCTGCTCTGCAGCGCCTACCTGCCATCTCCAGGGCGACAGGGTCCTCGGAGACGGGAACCAGCCCCTCCTTGGCGTCCACCTGCTTCTCGGCGGGCACGGCGGGAGGGGAGTACTTGAGGTCCGGGGTGGGCACGGGCAGGGCCGAGGGCACAGCGCCGTGGAAGAGACTGGCCCACGACTTGGGCTGGCCGCCGGGCACACTGCCCTGACCGTCGGCAGCAGAGGGGCCGCGGGCGGGCGCGGGCTCCGAGTCCGTGCTCTCGGCTGTGTGGAAGGCCAGGCCGTTGGCGGCCAAGGCCTCGCCTGAGGATTCAAGTATCTGTCCGTTCACGACGGCGAGCTTTTCAGTAGTGTCGGCCCCCGCGGTCCTGGGCACGCCGCCCGCGGGGAGGCAGGTCAGCTCCGGGGCGGCCCCGGGGAGGCGCTCAAGCTGCCCCGCAGTCCTGCCCTCCAGGGCGCCGGGGAAAGACCCGCCGGGACCCCCGGCACCGCCGCGCCAGTCCGCGGGCTCCTGAGGGCTCCTGCAAGTCCTCGGGGACGGGGACGGGGTCGAGTCCCCTGCCACGGCCATCTCGGCATCGTCAGGGCCGGTGTGGCCGTTGACCAGGGCCCCGGGGGAGGCGGCGTCCTGGTCGCCGTCCAAGTAGCTGTAGTAGCCGGGGGGCCGTTTCTTCTTCCTCTTCCGCTCCCTCTGCCCCAGCCCACCCTCCGGACCCTCGTCCTCTGCACCGCCGGGGCTGTCCAGGGCCAGGCCCGTGTCGGGGTCCTGGCCGTCCACGGGGTTGGAGGTCACGTCTTTGTCTCCGTCCTCAGCGCTGGTCCTGGAAGTCGCGCAGCTCAGGATGAACTCGGGGGCCTGAGGGTTCAACGTGCTGCAGATGCCGCAGCTGGGCGCGGGCCCTGTGGCGCTGCGCTCCGGCACCTCGTGGCCGGGCTGGGGCCTCTGGTACTCGGGGCTCTCTGGGCCTGGCGGGGAGGGGGACACACCGTCAGCTCCGACCCTGACGGACTGCGAAGGACCAGCTGGTCCGCCTCGTCGTCAGCACTGAACCCTCGAGAGCCTTCCCCACCCATGAGGCCGCGACCGGCGGGGGGCTGCACGCGTGGGGCAGAGACCTGACGCGCGAACACTTGACGGGGAGGGACGCAGCCCACGCCCACCCTCCCTCCCACAGCAAGGGCAGCTTTTCGGGAAGGACCCGGGGAGGGGGCAGGGGGCTGTCTAGCTGACCCCTGCTGTGCTCAGGGTCACTCCTGGCAGCCGAGGGAAGCGGGGCCGGCCGTGTCAAGCAGAGGCCCCCCCCCCCCGCTGGACTATCCCTCTGGTCCAGGAAGTAAGTTTTTATGAGGAGTCCAAAAAGTCAAAAACCAAAAATGAAATGACATCTTTTCACTCCTGGGCACCAGGTCAGAGTGTCCGAAAGCGAGACCGTGACGGAAGGCCACGTCTCGGCACGCGCTGAGCGGTCCCGGGAGCCCCGCCGACTGGGTAAGGGCACGACTGGACAACTAATCTCGAAACCCGACCGGGGAACAGCTGACTCGGGCAGTCCACGCCGTGCTCAGTGAGGCCTCGAGGGAGGAGGGGAACTGGCCGAGCCCCCCCGCCCCAGGCACCAACCAGGAGCAGCAGGAAGCGCTTCTGCTGGCCCAGAACAAAGACACACACTCACGCCTGTAGGATAACACTCTTTTGTCCTTCCTCAGGTAGCTTAGGTTTGTCAGGTCACACCCATCTAAGGACACTGAACTTGTACTGTAAGCAATGTCCTTCCTGTGTGGACACAGGAAGACAGTTAATATTATGCTTTGTGCCTTGGGAGTTGATTGACTCCGAATAATATTTACTCCTGGGCATCTATTTCTTGACTCAGTTGCCTTTAGTTCCTAGCACCCCAAAAGCAGGGTCCCGACGAGGGACTGAATGGACCCTGGGCAAGCAGTGAGCTACCCTGGCATCGAAATGGGCCAGGCCAAAGAGCCACGATACTCAACTATACGCTGAGGGCATGATCATGGACAAATGCTGTCATGATCCAGAAGTAAGTAACGACGAGACTAGGACCCTGCTGGAGCTAGGAAGATCAACCTGGCCTGAGGACTGCGGAATGTGTAGTGAGATGTTCTCAGGAAGAACCAAACTAAGTTTATATCTCTTACTCTGCTCATACAGAATGAAAGTCAGCCCTCGACACACAGAATGACATTGCTAGAAATATTAGAAGTAGATTACTAACTGAGGGAAGAACACACCCTTGTTGGGATCCCACCCTTGGGTGGATCTCCTAGTAATCTGAAGTAATCTCTGTAGATGAGATTTCATCCTTGAGTTAATCTCCTGGAGGAGTGGTCTTACCTCTCTTTGTTGATTCGTCAGTATTCAACCCACCTTTATGTCACCGCCTTATGTGACTGCTATATAAACTAAGACGTAAGCTCGGAAAGGGAGTCAGAAGCGAGAGAGCTCGGGCTCCAGAGATCCGGAGTCAGAGCCAGAAGGAGAGAGCTTCCAAGACTGGGGCCCAGGAGAGAAGGAGGCAGAGAAAGACAGGAGTGAAGAGAATGGGAATAAACTACTATTGATATAGACCGGCCTGGCCCTCGTTTCTTCTTCCCGGCCTGGCCCTCGTTTCTTCTTCCGTCTGCCCTTGGCCAACAGCCGTTCCGATCCAGGCCACAGACAGCGGCTCAAGAGCACCGAACGCAGGTGGTGAGACAGTGCCGTCCAGTGAGCCCGTGAACACACAACCTTCGGCGTGATAAGATTTTGCACACGCCCTCACAGGCTGCACACACAATCACACAGGCTCTCACACACAATCACACTCACGTAGGCTCACACAACACATACACTCACACACGGCCCATCTGGTGCTGGGGCCAACCAGGGGCTCCTGCTGAGGCGGGAGCCTCTGAGCAGACACCGCAGTGCCTCTGGGGGTGGGTGCACGGCGCCAATAGAGTGACCTTCACACCCTGTGGCCCTGAGTTCCAGTTTTGCTCCTTTTCACTCAGAACGGAGAAGCCCGTCCGCCGAGCGCACAGGAGCCCGGCCCAACCCGCAGCGCAGACTATCGTGGGTGGCCAGCCCAGGACGCTCGCTCGAGCCGTCGCACGTGGCACCCCCAGCCCGGTGGCACCAGACAGTGCCCATCCCACAGGAGCGGCCGCGGCCAGCAGGCCTGGGGATGTCTGGGCGGGCTCAGGGACGCCTGGGGACTGTCCTCGCCTCCCGCCCTTGCCACCATCCTTCATCGAGGGCACCCTCGGGTGTGGACACTCGCACCCCAGGGGGTAGCTTACCCTCGGGCGGGTCCTCCGTGGCCGGCGGGCCATCCAGGGCCACCCCATCGAACGGCGGCAGCTGCGGAGGCAGAGAAGACAAGCCTGAGCGGCAAGACACAGCCAGAAGGCAGCGAGGGACAGATGCTCCCACGCGAGGGGAGGCCCTGGACCGGCAGCTGGGGCCCGGCTCCCCTCCCGGGCAGCCCCGCGGCAGGGCGAGGTCAGAGGGAGAGAGCCGACCCTTGCCACAGCAGCCCACCCGGAGGGCCGGGGCCACACGGCACTCACCACTGTCCCCTGGCGGCAGGATCACCTGGGGCCACTGGAGACCCCCCCCCAGCCCGCTCCCTTGTGGACACGACAGGGCAGGCACGTGCCAGCTCAGAAGCCACCAGGCAGCGCCGGCTTCAGGCACAGCTGCCCACACCGGGTGGTGCAAGGGCGCCCCCTGGTGGCGGCCGGGGAGGGCTGCAGCGCCTCGGCAGGAATTCCCAGAGATTGGGTGGGAGAACCAGCAGGGAGAGGGGGATCCAGTGGGGGGATCTGGCGGGTGCTGGGCACAGGCAGCCCGCAGGCCCCAGGCTGCCGTTGCCGTTTTCCGGGCGTGTTTGCTCGGGCACTTGTTCTGATCTTCCCAGGAGGCCTGGGCGGAACCACCGACTCACTGAAGACTGGACCTGAGCCTGGGTGACCTGAGACGGGTGACGTGCGGGTCCCTCGGCTGCTCGCACCCAAAGGCGCCTGGATCTACCCAGGCGTGGAAGGGCAGGGCTGAGCCCTTGGCTCCGAGGGAACCCCGGGAACCCCCGTCAGCTCACTGCCACAGGCACATGCACACGGCGGAGCTGCCCCGGCACCTGGCAGAGTGAGCACCAAGGATGTGATAACTGTCACCGAGGCACAGCACAGGGTTCCGGTGCTTTTTTTGTTTGTTTTTGGGTCACACCCGGCGATGCACGGGAGTTCCTCCTGGCTTTTGCACTCAGGAATGACTCCTGGCGGTGCTTGGGGGACCACATGGGATGCTGGGAATCGAACCTGGGCCGGCCGCGTGCAAGGCAAATGCCCTCCCCGCTATGCTATCACTCCAGCCCCTGTGGTGGTCTTTTTGTTTTTTTTTTTTAAGTCTCTGGGCCACACTCAGCAGTGCTCAGGGCTGACTCCCAGCTCTGTGCTCAGGGTTGACTTCCTGGTGAAGCTCAGGGAACCAAATGGGGTGATGGGGTTCAAACCCAGGCCACGTTCAAGGCCAGCGCCCACCCCCACACCATCACTCCAGCCCTGAGTCTGAGGGCCTCCCTGCACAGGGAAGCAGGCCACGCCCAGCCCCGACTCGGACTCAGCCGGTGGGTGAAGCACTCCTCATAGGAGCAGTGGGGCTGAGGGCCGCCCCAGGAGCACCGCGCGACAGGTAGGAACCGGTGTCGGTCTGTCGGAGCCGCAGTGACAGCAGCAATCCAGCCCAGGAATGGGAGGGTGCTGGCCCTGCCCACCTGGGTCCAGCCCCCAGCACCCCATCAGGTGCACTAAGCACTAAGCATGGTGGGGCGTGGCCAAGGATCAAAGCGAAATATCTGATTTGTAATAAGCAAAACCAAGGACTATTAAGCCCACAAATCAGTAAGAATAAGGTAAGTTTTCAATCAATTGATTAAAAAAAAAATAGGACAAAAAAGATGGATCAGGTAATTCACAGACGCGAGAATCTCTGTTGCTCACAGACACAAAGAAAAGCTCAAATCCAGGAACCGTATGAAACAGAATGGTGGTGTTTCGCTCATGACCCCCACCGACAACCCTTCACCTGCAAAGCGGGGGGCGGGGGGAGCTGACGCTGCTCCCAGCAACACTCAGCCGCCCGGCCGGTTCCGTTCCGAGGGCCAAACCCTGGTCCTGGGCCCCAAAACGCCCCCGAGCTGCAGAAACAGGCGAGGTGCTGGCCCGGACACCCTGGTCCACCCCTGAACCGAAGGGCAGCTCAAAGCCTTTGTGTCCACCCCAAAAGCAGAGCCCGCACCCGCCCTCCCACGGTCCTCACGAGGCGCCCAGCCCGGAGAAGCCTGACAATCCCCGCAGAGTTCAAAGGCGCCTCTGCCAGGCGTTGCAGGGCCCGGGGGAGGAACACAGGAACGGGGGACAGCGGGAGGGAGGGGTCCGCCTCACGTGCCGCCCATAAGGAGTGAGCGAGCCGAGAACCGTGGGGCATGGCCAGAAACAAGCACGTCTGGGCCCTGCGTGGGCAGCGCGGGGGTCCCACCTCGGGCTTCCTAACCTCTGGGGGGTGGGGGGCCCAACAAGGAAAACCAACAACTCAAACAGGAAAAAATACACGTGTGATACACGTATGTATCGACTGCAGTATATGAATAGATGCCACACAACTGAAACTACGCATAAGACAAAAATGTATCAGCATGGCACCGGGGACATGTGGACACGGCCAGGGCCCGCCCGCTCTGTGCCACTGTCTGAGATCTCAGCGGGCACCTGGGGCCTCTGGGATGGAGGGGCGGGTGGGGGGGGACACGGAAGCCTCAAGAATCTTTCATGTTCTACTGTTTAGTAGTAGAGCAAAACAGCGTTGGTTCGCATTCCTCTCATTCGTCTGTGCTTTTCTGTAAGTCAGAATCCTTTATCAAGAAGCACCAACCTGGGGGCTGGAGCGACAGCACAGCGGGGAGGGCGTTTGCCTTGCAGGCAGCCAAGCCGGATTTGATTCCCAGCATCCCACATGGTCTCCTGAGCACCGCCAGGAGTGATTCCTGAACGCAGAGCCAGGAGGCTAGGAGTAACCCCTGAGCATCGCCGGGTATGAACCCCCCCCCCAAAAAAGAAGAGAAGCACCAACCAAGAAACCAAACCCAAAACTTAAACATTAACGTCCAGGGGCTGGAGCGATAGCACAACTGGTAGGGCGTTTGCCTTGCACGCGGCTGACCTGGGTTCGACTCCCAGCATCCCATATGGTCCCCTGAGCACCCCCAGGAATAATTCCTGAGTGCATAAGCCAGGAGTAACCCCTGTGCATCACCGGGTATGACCCAAAAAGCAAAAAAATAAAAAATAAAAATAATAATTAAAAAAAAACATTAACGTCCATCCATCCATCCATACATACACCCACGGAAAGTCTTACCTCGACTGAAGAACGAGGAGTCACAAAGAACTGATTGAATTCATCGGGGCTAAAATCTCCAAAAATGTACTGGAAAATAAAAGCAAGAGTCACCCGTCACGTACCAAGGACAGACCACGTCGCTCAGAGGAAGGCAGTGCCGGGGAGACCCCAGGGTCCGTGCACCGGGCCCGCCCCGGATCCATCACCTCTCGCTGCAGAGAGAGATTCAAGCAGGGAGGCGCAATTCAGGAGGGGAGGTATCAACGATCCCACAAATGGTTTGTAACTGTGTTGACTTTATCTTAAAAATGCACTGGAAATGGTAGTGAGACTGGTAGTGAGTACCTGTAAAAATCATCACCAACGACTCTGTAAACCACAGAATTTATATAAAGTATACGGGGAAAACGAAATTTTAATTTTAAAAACTGCATTGGAACACTTATGTGACAGGCAAAAACCAAGTCGTAAGCCTTCATCTCACAGAAACCTAAATGAGATTTTTCGGGGAAAAAAACACTGGTTAAAGCGCATGGGAGTGAGTTTCATTCGTGCCTGCCAGCTCGCGTGACCCTGGGGCTCCCAGAGAAGTCACGGGTGGCTCAGGGTGACAAGGTTGAGAAGTCAAAGACAAGCTCTGCATGAGAAGGCCCACGTCCCTCCGGGGCCTGCAAAAGAGGGACCCCCCCACCCCATACAAGCCGGAGGTGGAGGCCAGAATTCCCCCAGCACTGATGAGTGTGGTGGGACCCTCCCCCAAAAGCCAGCCATGGGTCCTCCCAACGACCAAGAAAAACCATCAAGTCCTTCTACATCAACAGCTAGTGGCTCAGAATCGACCCAACGGCCACGAGCACAGACGCCAGAGACTGCAGCCGCCTTTCCGGGCGCCCCGACGGCAGCTCCCGAAGCTCCGAACGCTGATTAGAACCAAACCCACCACCGTACACATGCGTGCCCAAGGCCACGAAGCGTGCAGGGAACAGAGACAGCACAGCAGGTAGAGCACACGGCTGACCTGGTCAGCACCCCGTGGGGTCCCCTGAAACCCCACCAGGAAGGATCCCTGAGTACAGAGCCGGGAGCGAGCCCCCAGCACGGCTCGGCCCCGGGTGGGAGGGCAAGTCCCACGGGTGAGGGCTGTCTGCAGCGGGCAACGCCGCGCTTCCTGGCAGGGTCTGGGGCCACCCATGGAGACCCCGGGATTCACTGCAGAGCCCGCTGCAGCCTCTCCGTGCCTCCTCTCTGAGGGATTTCCCCAAGAATCCTTCCATCGGACCACAGAATTCAGTGCAGGGGTCAGGGACAGGGTTGGAAGGGCCCAATTAAGAACGGGGCCCATCGGACAACCCGTGATCTCCGCAAACTGTCTCAGAGCCGGAGCACATCATATGCCCGGCCGCCAGCTCCAGGCCCCCCGGGGTGCAGGGCGGAGTCTGGAAGCGCCTCCGGGCACCACCAGCTGTGCGCAGAAACAAGATCCTGTGTTCAAAAGCCCGCCGCGGGCACTGGCAGAGCGGCCCCTCACACACATGCGGCCGACACCACACCCACGTGCAGGTGAGTGTCTGCAGCGCAAAAACGGGGGGGGGGGGGGGGGGGAGGGGGCCCACAGCACCCCAAGGGCACGTGCGCCCCATGACGAGAAATCCAGCCCTGTGTGTGCGTGCTGGGAAGTACACACCCACGGCCACACGAGCTCGGGCCGGCACCGGAGACCTCGCCGACCAAGACCTGATGAGCCTGAGCCCCGGAACCCGCTCACAGCCGCACAGGGCCGCACTCGGGCCGGGGACCATGCGGTGCCTGGCCGGGAGCCACGTGGGTCGGAGGCGGGGCAGGGAGCCAGGGCCCAGCGGGTGGCGAGGAAGGAAACTGGGCTCAGGTGTCTGCTGACACACGGCCCGGCTCGGCCCAGGTGACCCCAGGAGCGACCCCTGAGCACTGCCAGGTGTGGCCGCCACCTGCTCCCCCACCGAAAAGCCCACGCTATGAACGGCTGGCTGTGAGAAAGTTCCAGATGGCAGGAAGCAAGGCCGGCCACCGGCCCGGACACACAGACCTGACAGGGCCGGCCGGGCACACTCCTGGCTCAGCGCCAAAGCACGGCTGCTCTGGGATGGACGGACAGATGGACACACGCAGCTGCAACCCCCAGGCAGGGAGAGTGGACGCAGAGCGCGAGGGGGGCAGGAGCCCAGGCCGAGCGGAAGCTCCTGGAAGAGGCGGAGGCGAGGCCAGGCCGGCTCAGGGGCATCTCTGGAGGGTCCGAGAGTAAACACCGTGGGGGGCACGAGCCCCAAGGGCCACTGCAGGGCCCGTGAGAGCCTCCAGGAAAGGCCCTAGCACCAGGCGGCAGAGGCCGTGCCCCCTCCCACCTGCTCGCTCGGGCACCACCCACCACGCTGGGCTCCAGCCTCGCCCAACGAAGCGGCTTCTGGAGAGACGGCGGGCTGGAAGGACTCGGCAGCCCGGACCAGCACAGGCCAGAGGGGCCCTGCCCGCCAGAGCAGAGTGGGCGCAGCCGCCCCTCCGCCCCCCGGGAGGCCCCAGGAAGAAGCTCGTTCTGGACCCTCCACCTGGGTCAGTGCTCGCGGGGCAGCACCCGAGAGCGCCTGCTTGGGCCACACACGCGGGATCCGGTGAGTCAGGAGCGCCCCAGAGCCGCCTCCCCACAGTGACCCACTCACGGGGCCTCCACATGGGTTCCGAACGGCGGGGGGACCAGGCACAGGGCTGGAGCCTGGCACACTGTTTGCCTCCTGGGCAGGGGTACTGAAAAAGGAGAAAACGGGCACAGCCACACTCAGCGATGCTCAGGGCTGACTCCCAGCTCTGTGCCTGGGGGCTCAGGTGGGACACTGGGACAGAATCCGGGTTGGCACGAGAAGGCAAACCACCAGCCCCTTGTGCCAGCTCTGTCTCTTCTTGCCGGGCCGCTTTTAAATAAAGCGGTTCGCACTCAGAACATGAACGAGGCCCGCGCAGGGCGCTCAACCCCACAGCCCAGGCCTCCAGGACAGCCCCGGCTGAACCCACTCTGCCGGACCGGCCAGCTGCAGGAGACGGAAGGAAACGCAGGTCAGCGGGGACGGGGAATGGTGACTCTGGGTCCCTTGAACGGAGCAACCAACGAACGGCTACAAACAAGTGCCTGTGAAGGACGGACATGAACAACCCCAGCACCGCAGGGAACAGGTGCCCGTCTTTCAGCGGGAGGGGCAGACGGACGAGCTCAGGATTCTGAGATGCACACGCCCTCGGGGCAAGCTGTGCACCCTACCTGGGGAGCTGTGGGGGTTGGCACTACTGGTTGCTTTGGGACCACCTGGGATGCCAGGGCTGGAACCCGGGTTCGCTGTGTACATGGCAAACGCCCTCCCTGAGGTGCTCCCATTCCAGGGGGGAGGAGGGTGTCGGTGGCGCGTGACTGCAGCGTTCAATGCCCCAGCCCCCTCTACAGCCCCGCATCTCCCGTGGCTTTTGGAACCGCCTGGACTGACCGGCGTCTTCCCCCAGAGGTTCCTTTTCAGGGGAAAAAACAAAAATCTGTGTCTCCCTGGAAATCTCCCTCCTTTCAGTGAATACAAAGCCCCCAGCATGGGGGTGTCCCCCTGCCGCCAAATGGTGCTCCCTGGGGGCTGTATCACTGCCGTCTGTCCACTCGAACCCCAAGAAGGTGGACCCAAAGCTGCAGTGCTCCAAGTGGGCGAGAGACGGTTTCAGGGGCGCCAGTGTGCCCCGTGTTCTGCCCTGAGCTTCTATCCCAAACCACAAAGGGCCGGAGTGGGACGTGTGCGTCCTGTCCCCCTCCCAGGGTCCCTAGGGTGCAGCTGAGCACGGGCAAAGGGGGCACACACGTGCCGTTCACTTTCCCTCCAGGCTCGGCGGGCCCGGAAAGATTCCTCGGACAAGAGGACTCAGGGGGGCTGGAGCAACGGCACAGAGGGGAGGGTGCTGGCCTGGCACACGGCCGACCCGGGTTCGATCCCCAGATCCCATACGAGCCCCGAGCACCGCCAGGAGGAATCCCCGAGCACTGCCTGTGTGACCCCCCCCCCAAAAAAGAGGCCAATGGAGGCCCGTGGGCCAAAGCAGGGCACGCCCGTCCCAAGGCAGACGAGGGGAAGGGACGAGGAAGTACGGAGGGCGCGCACCCCACCCCCACAGCAACCCCATGCCGAGGCGAGCCTCTCGCTGTCCTCCTGCATCGGGCCACTTCCGTCATGCACGAACGCCAGGACGGTGTCCAGGCAAAAGCCCGCCTCTGCGCTGCAGTCACCTCCGACCCGCACATCCGCAGCGACCAAGACTGAACTGGACAGCACGCTGCTGGCCCCGGGAGTGTCACGCAGCCAGTGGCAGCCTGGGGTGACGCCCAGTCCCATGCAGTCCCCCGATCACGGAGCTGGAACGGCCACTCTCCACACTGACCTCGGGGACTAGAGTCTAGCAAGGAGCAGCTCTTGGCGCAGACCCCCAGGCCCGCAGGGCGGCCCCGGCTCCTCCCACACTGAGGCACTGTCAGCACCTGCGCCGGGGCCTGGCTGTGCCCAGCAGGAAGTGGCCCGAGAGGCAACCCGTGCTCAGCCAGCCTGTCCCGCAGGTGACCCCTGGCCTCCTGCCCCCACCCCAAACCCTGCACCCTCAGGCACCGGGGCGGGAGGCTTCGGGGAGCAGGAGGGGCGGGACACTCGAGCCGGTGCGCAGCTCCCCTCTCAGCCCTGCTGAGTCACGGCCCCACGGGGCCGCCTCCCCGGCTCGCGCGCGCGTGCTCCGCCACTGCGCCCCGGCTGCCCACACCCAACTCGGGGTCGGCCCGCCCGTGGGGCAGTGCACCACAGAGTGCGCGCGCAGAACAGCCAGGCCGGGGGACAGGGCTGAGGCCTGGGGGAAGGGGGGGCGCCAGCCTGCCTCCCGCTGGGCAAGATTTGGGGCACGGCGTGCTGGGCACCCAGTGCGCCAGGGAGTGCCAGGTCCAGCCCGCGAACGAACGAGACGGCTAGTAAGCTGGCACACAGGGTCCGGCCCGGTTCAGTGGCCAGAAGTCAGAGCCCCGGCAGTGGGCAGTGCCACCTGCTCCACCA